CCACTCACACATCCTGCGGCGGCGCACTCCACCCCACTCGGCGTAGTGCAACTCAATGAATAAGCCAGCGTCCACCGCGCGGCGCAGCGGGTCCCGGAACGCTCGATCTCTTCCCTGGAATTCGCCGGCGCCCCTTGCTCATTCATCCCCCTTAAACAGCTTCGTTCTCCTCGCGGGCAGCCGGCGCTCCACAGGCTTCATCAGGCTTGTATTCTCCGCGAATTCTTTTACTCTTGTTTCTTTTGCTCCGTGAGATATCGGGCCTGTCCCGGGACCACCGCCGGGTAAGGAATCACGGGAACTGCTGACCATTAATCTTGCCCGAGTTCCAATTCATGGCTTGGTATTGTCAGGCTGGTAACATTGATTCAGAGCCTTGTAATTGGCATTCTCAGGATCATTAACGTTTCTGCGAAGTTATTTAATTTCTATTACCTCTATATCTTCCTGAAATGCCACAGAAAATAGTTTCATTTTCAGAACTTCTCAAGTTTATTTTCATTTGGGTAAACTCTTTTGAAATAAGACTTCCTTTGAAATAAGACAAAGTTTCGTGAATTCCGAACTCGACCCAATTGGACGTTTAACGTCTTGTTTCAGAGCGAAATGATATTCCACTCACATATTTCGGGCTGTTTTTTTACATGCACTTTTTCGACTATAGAGCGAACTTATACCACTAGTAAATGTAAAATGATCAATTAGGAAGACGTCTTACCTTCCAGACCGACAAATGCTTCAGGATCGACGTGAATGATGGAATTGCCATCCAGCTCCAAGGAGTTCAGCAGCGTCAGATGAGAGAAGACACGAGCGGGCACGTCCTTCAGGTGGTTGTGCGCCAGGCCCAGAGAGTCCAGGTTGCGCAGTCCTGCGAACACCAGAACATTGTCGCATCTTTATAAATGTTCATTATTTTATTACAATTGAAATAATTCTCTAAAACGAAATGGTATTAATTTTTTGACATTCTTTTCCTAAGTTTTTTGAACTTATCATCCTCAATGTAGTCGTTATGATTAATGTTCACAAAAATGACCATTTCTAAATATTTCACTCTAAATGTAAATGTAGATCGTGAGGCAATTGTAACATATTCATCTAAACATTTCAAACACATCCATTATTTGCTAATGAACTACATATAAAAACAAATATACGACTAAGTAAAAATGTGACTTTTTAAATCCTTTGATTTAGCAAATATTAAAACAGAAAATTTAACGGTTTAATTCAGAAATATTTAACGACTTCTTTGTACGTCACTACGTTCAAAACATTTCGTGTCATCTGTCACCAACAGGTATTCGCAGTTTCCTTAGCCAACCTTTAGCCCCACACACCACTCCTCTTCCGACCGATTTCCTGCGCCATGTCCGGCGTTAAACGCTGCCACCTCCGACACGCTCACACACCGGTCCTGCCAGCAAACGCGCGTGTGCCCGGCGGGCCCGCGAGTCATTTTCGGCGCGGCACACATCAGATACAGGGCCCAGACGCAGGCGGCTCTTTTGCGACGCAGCAGCTCAGTTGATATGCTAATTTCCTGGCGCGCGCCGGCCGCCGCCAGCCGGGGCGAAATCCCTCTGCGGCGGGCGAGCGGCGGGGGGTGGAG